ACATGGGCGGGCAGTGAGGAGAGGCTCGGCGGCCGGAACCAGAGGAGAGAGGTAGGTGCGGGAAGGAAGGACAGGCTGCACACATTTTACACGTGATCACGGCGCCATCACTTGTAAGCGAACAAGCGGCTTCCCCACACTACATTTAGTCCTACCTTCCCAAAGCAGGACTAAATGTAGAAGGCAACTTACCGCTCGGCACTTTATGTTCCGGGCGTCGGGGGATTCCATACCGCTGCCGCCCCTCTGCGCCCTGCTCCCCCGAGGCCTCGGTGGCCTTGTGGGAAATCCGGGCCAAACCTAGCAGGTCCAGCACTTTATTCTACTTCTTTCCAGTATAAGGGACAGGAAGGACCTTCTCAGCCCGTGCCGCAATCTACAATGCTGGCGCCAGGCGAGGCCGGGGAAGGTGACCTTAACACTGACACGCCACATACCTGTGGCTGTAAATCAGCAAGTTCATGGATGCAACCTGACCATGCCAACACAAAGCATGTGCAGGGTTAGAGACTGGCAGGTTTTTATTACTCTTCCTTACTTCCTGTGTTGTCACAGACAGGAAGTGCAGCAAAATCTGGGCCTATGTGGCAGCAATAAAAACCTGATTGAATCGAACCTTCCCCATTCACTTTATTAAAAAGCTGGAGTTCTACGTCGAATTGTACCCCTCATCTACACCGGCTACAATCAAACAAGCCCATGAGTACCTCAAACCCTTCAGGTACACAAATATGCAAATTTGGAGAGCTTTCAGCAATTTTGAAAGCTGGTCCTCCCCCCTCCAAGCGGCCATTGAGCCCATCCAACATAGTGCTGTTCCTTCAGGAACTCTGAGGGAGGATGCAAGCACCGGATACTGCAGGGAGTGGCAGAGATAATCAGTATTATAAACCTCAACTTCTAACCCACTTGATGAGACCGGTCCAACAAGACTGATCTACACACAGGTAGAACGTAGGGCTGCAGCCAATTATTTTTATAATCGATTAGTTTCCCAATCTTTTTCGATTAACCAATTGCATTAAAAAAATCTCAACTAATCGATGAGAATAGTTGACAACTATTCTCATAATCAATTAGTTGGTTGCAGCCCTAGTAGCATGGCATGCTGGGACCAGGGGGATCCTCCAGACTGGACAATTTGGTCCCAGTAGTACAGACTGTTCAAGCTCACCCTAAGAAGCAGTCCACGTCATTGAGCCACTGTTTGATGAAGTGATTCGTGACGGGCTCCACCGTGTTGGGGAAACGAAGGTTCTCCAGGGTGTTGAGGAGCAGCGGAGGACTGTAGTATAACGCAGCAATGGAAACCTGCAGACACATCGTCCTAAGTTCGCTGGTCTTCACCTCCCGAGTCAGCCTCTCCAGAGCGGCCTCCACGAATAGCGGTATGACCTGCGAGGGGCGAGAACTGAATATGAATCTCAGGACGGATTTCACAGCCATGCAACCCAACCGTGAGCGTGATTACAGCCTAGGAAACCCAACTTCCAAAGTTCTCCAGGATGACCCTTCCCGATACCTCTTGTGACATCTACAGCAAGAAAACATAGAAGACATCCATCCGGTCTGCTCCCTAGAAAAAGCCAAACGGCGGCTCGCTGCAATGGAGGCGGTATTATAACTCACCTATCAGGGGTCTCCTACCTCCCCACCGTTCCAGCGCTGCCGCCTCTGCCAGACTCCAGCATTCAAACACTTAAGCATGATGCCTGTGCCCCCTGCTCACACTGACGTCACCGACCCCTATAGTAATGTAGAGGCTGGGGGAAGGAACCAGTGTGTGGTGGGGAATAAGGGTATCTGGCACTCTGAGAAGTGTTAAATGCTGAAGAGGCTGCAGTGCTGGAATGAAGGGGAGGAAGGAGACATAGGCTGCTGGAGAGGAAGTGGCCCCACATCATACTCTCTACACTCCTCTCCTGCACATACTGGCCTCAATCACACCCTCCGCACTCCTCATGGACATAATGACCCTTCATATCCTCTACACACGCTGCATCTGTCATACCTCTCACCCTGTACATAATGACCCCAGCCTCCATTCATAGCCTCTGCATTCCTCTGACATACTGACCTATCCCATCATCCCTCACACACATCATCCCCCTTTCCCCCTCACAGCCTCTACACTCCTCATGGACATAGTGACCCATCATACCCTCTACACACGCTGCATCCATCATACTGCTCACCCTGCTCTCCTGTACATGATGACCCCAACCCCCATTCATAGCCTCTGCATTCCTCTGACATGCTGACCTGTCCCATCATACCCCTTTCCCCCCATCACAGCCTCCACACCCCTCTCCTGTACATATTGCCCGTCACCCTCACTTTTTGCTCCCTCTGAAGCAGGCACACTTGCTAGTACATTGTCTATTGCAGGGACCTGCTGTATGGAAATTAGGGACCTGTCAGAGCCTCTAAACAATTGCAGTTTTTGGCCTTACTTTCAAAATGACAGAAGTGCAGCTGTGAAGACGACCGCGTCCTAATTACAGACTTCCGATTCACATCTCATGTTAAACTTCAAGGCTCTTTGGTCACATTGGCAGTTACCAGTAATCTAGGCATTTCACCTTTATGAGATGTGCCGATCTGGACATGTCCCCGAGAGAAGTTGGGATGAACCCCAGCGATCCCTAGAAAGTCCCCATCAATGAGTCGCGGGAAACTTTCTTGCTCGGCGTGCCATTTTAATGACTTCATAGCAACTACAGACTCCAATGTATTTGAGGAAAGGGAAAAGGAGGGACTTTGGACTCATTCACACACAACGCAAGCAAAATTGTATGTTGCGTATATACGCGTCTATGCGTGCACTATATGCAATCCCAGAATGCATCACTCGTAATGGAATTTTTTTCGTGTGCTGTACGCGCGTGTATATATACGCAGTAATACGCTGCCCAGACGCATCTCTGTTCCATTCTGTTTTCGCGCATATATACGCTACGCAAATATACGGCTCTATACGCGGCTGTGTGTATGGAGCCATTTGCATAGGTTGCATATAGTACAATGCGCACGTACGCGTGCGGCAGTGTTAATGAGGCCTAAGTCTCAGAAAAGCTCTTTGTTCTCCTTCATGCCCAACAGTACTCAATGTTCCTGCGCGGTCGTTTGATGGAAAGCGGCGGGAAAGATCTCCAAAGAAGAGTCTCAGTGCTATGGAGGCTTCTACTAAGTCTCTTGGCCTCCGGCTCCCATCACCGCTCTCCCGGCTGGATGTTTTGGTGGGAAAGGAGCTCAGAATCGTGGTGAAGGGATTTTCCTCACCCCTCCCCCACCCCC